AATTAAAATGTCTGTTCTTGCCATCTACTTACACTTAGTAGAAAGTATTTAATTGTTGGCACTGGAGTGAAAATTAGTGTGAAGCAGCGTCTCCTGCACCTGACATTCACATGAAGCGTGGATTCTGTTCCCAGCCCTGCACGAGTTTGGTCTGCTCATGGAGTTGCTTTGTTCCTTAGCTCTGTGGTGGGTGGATACATAGTATTTCATTCAAGAGCTGCTCTGGTGAGATTTCTCTGAAATTCTGAGTATTTGTAATTATTTGCAATTAGAACAAATCAGGATGGTTTCTGCATAGGTGACTAGTTGGATACATGTTCCCAGGTTGTTTTGAATCAAATGAGCCAACATTCATTTTTACTAGATTCACAGTAAAGATTTGAATTTATTCTGTGACCCTGATGTTAGGATAATGTAAGCGACTTCATGTTCTGTTTCTGTAAATTCACTGATACAGCCCTGATTAACAGAACTGCAAAGCAGGATTTAGTCAATAGTAAAGGCGGGAGGGAGGGCAGCAGCACCAGGCTAACGTTGCAATGATTTTGGCATGCTCCTAGGACAGCCCTACACAACTTTGTGAATGGACAGCCACCCTATTCTTAACTTTTTTGGGAGGTGAGGATGGAGGGATCCTCGAAGCAGACTGATAAGGATGGTTTTTGTAGAATAAGAAATTATTGTTGGCTTCCTAATTTTCTTTTATATGTCATCGCTGTTTTTCATAGTCACTTTTTTTTTTTTAACGTTTTTTAACATTGACTGAAATGCTACTTTCATTTACAGTATGTAGCAGAACTCCATGGGCATCATTTGGATTGTTTTTTATTACTGTTCTTGTGTCAGAGCATCCAATTTTGATCTCTGTTAAGGAAAAATATTGCCAAATCTGGTTGCGTAATATATAATGAGAAGAAAAATGTACAAGGAAGGGATTTGAAAAGTACTGGCAACAGTGAGTTTCCTTTGTCTTAGCAAATGTGTAGGTAGGGAGTGATTCTAGAGGTTATAAGTAATGAAGGCATGTGGAGTAGAGAGAGAACCTTATTATAGTACTTGTGCATCCTTCCAATTACCATTGTTCATAAGACAGGGACAAAGTCAGCACAATTCCAATTTTGTTAAATTCCTCTCCTAACTTCTATAGGTAATTCCATTCATTTGACATCCAGTTCTCTCACTTAAAGGAAATTTATCAGGTGAGCTTTATTTTGCAGAAACAGTGGATCTGTATTGTGCCTGAAATCAAGACACTTCACACAGGCAACATCCTAAGCCATTTTCTTAACTTTTTTGTGCTTCAGTAGTTCATTTGGCAAAAACAAAAAGCTCTAAAGCCATCAGATTTTAATAAGTAAAAAGCAAATGCCAAATATTATAATTTACCTGTGCAGGCAACTGTTGAAAATCTCTATGAATCACACTGGAAGTCGGTTTTCAACTTCTCTTGCTGCCTACCTATATCCTCCCACATTCAGCTTAAATTAGAAAAGTTATTATTCATGTTCCCTTTGTTAGGTGGTGTTGCTACTGAATATTTACTTTAACAGTGTTTTTACTTCAGCTTAAGATAAAGCAATCCCCTTCTGCATCGCCTGCAAAGCATACGGATGTTTTTGGATTGCAAACGTTGTGCTGTTTAAATGCTGTTTATGTAAATGCTTTTCCCGGAAACTCCTCCTTCATGGTAATACAACAAACAAAATTAATAGAAGAAACCCTTCCCTTATGTGAATTGAGCCTCTTCCAGTATTAGAAGTAGATCTATTGAGGGATGAATCAGACAAGCAGGGCCAGATAAACCATAATGTGGTAGAAAAATCTCCAGAAGAAAAGCTAGCTTCCTTTATGCCCAAGTAATTCTAAAATAATGTGCTAATTGTGTGCAATTAATCTACATTATTTTTCATGGTACTGTCTGAAACTGCATTAATCTAAGCAGGGCACTTCTGTTGTTGTCTCAGGAGTCATAGGAGGCCCTTGATTGTCGTCTGGCAGAGAATGGTATTTGCCCATTTAGAGAGAAAAACCACTTGACCTTGCTTTGAAAGCACTTGACTGATCCAGCAAGTAGCCGCACCACCTTCCTTAAAAGCATGAGAGCTATGGGCTCTATCGTAGGCAGCCTGAAAGGCTGTTCCCAAAAAGCAGCTATGTGTAATCATTCCACTGCTGGATCAATGCAGGAAGCAGAAATCACATTAAAACTGAATCACTTGGATTCACGTTATTTCATACATTGCTCGTATCTAATGCAATGTCAGAACCGGAGACCAACTAAATGAAGGTGTCCTTAAGATAGAAGGATACATGTGAAGCTCTGTGAAGCTATAAAAGTGTTTTTCATCTGAAGAATCTGGGGGGCAGAAGCACTACTCGTAAGAGTTAATTCTTACGTAGAGCTCTCTTCTTCCATGGTCCTTTACTGCCTGCATTCCTCCAAATACACCAGCATGAAAGCACCACGTCACTGTGAGATGTCATTTAGAAGGCAGACAGAAGCTAACTGCAGATCGATCTGGGCATAGTGCAGATGGAGGAGGAACAGGAGTTTCATTTCCTGTATCTGGTCTGAGAAACCAGTTTTTTTTATCCTTGCCACTAGAATTGCAGGGGTTCAGTCTTGCATGTGGCCCTAGCAAGAGCTGAGATTTGGCTCTCAGAAATGTGTGGCTGAGGAAGGCTCATCTGGAGCCAGCTCACATGCTCCTGCATGCACTCCCTAAAGCTCCAGAAGGAACATCAGCCATGTTTTGCTTCTTAGGCTTTCTGTGGCTCTGAAATCCCTCTGAACCTCATAGTATGGTTTGGTGTCTTACTCCTCTGCGTGCACCATCTCCTGGGCTCTCTTATCTCTAGGCTAGAATGCAATTTATGCAAGTACCCCTTTAGGAACTGGGATTAATGCTTGTGGCCATATTAAAGGTGCTGTTTGCAGGCTGTTAGGGATGTTTGAAAGTAATGTCATATGTATTAAAGCAGGAAGGTCATGCATTTCATATTCCAATCCCCTTATCTTCTAATGTCAGCGAACAGCATGATGTGCTGATTAATATGTGCTGTGCTGGTAAAGAATGCAAAGTAAGGGCTGGATTTTTACCTCTTAATCTGATTCTCACATAGAGAGTGAAGCTTCTGTGGCGTTAATGACTTAATACTGATGTTGCAAGAGTGTAATAGAGGCTCTTCAACTACATGCTAAGCATTCAGTATTTCAGTAATGACACAATTAGTCACTTGAACTTGCATCAGTGAGTGCTGTGCAGGAAGGTGAATCAGAAGTTCATATGAATTTGAGAAACCACTGCCTGTTACAAACAACACCCAGGTCTGGTATCTCCATCTTTTTCTGCTGAAAGCATTAGAAGACTTCCCCTCTTTTCTTATATGAAGTAGAGGAACTTCAGGGAAAATTCTTTCTTGAAAATGAATGTCCACCTACTATTAAACATTAACGCTTTTGTTTTGGCGTGTAGGTCTGCTGTATGCTATGACATATGGAAAAAAAAGCACGAAGTGTATTACTAATTGTGAGTTACAGTAAGAGCAAATAAGTGATCTCTGTGTGACCTATAAAGAGGACTAGGCAAAATCAAGAGCCTGTATGTGAACATTTCCAGTTTCAGAACTCTTTGAATTTTGCATCCAAATTTTGCAGCCTGGGCTTCTCTCCAGACTTGACAAATGTTAATTAAAAAGAAGAAATTAGCGTGATGCTGTTTCTTTTCATGCTGGCTCTCATCCCACTCCCTGAATGTCAGTGCTGCAGTGTGCCTCCACAGTGCAGCTGCACGTGCATGCGCACATGCGGTGCACGTTCTCCTGCCTGTCATTTTGGGAAAGTAGCAGTAGATTTTGGCAGCATAAAAACATGACTGTGAATACCCCATCCCTGTTCCTGCAGCATCACTGCTTTCCACTTAAATGTTGATGTATTTAAGGTTTTTTCAGGCGGATGGATGCTTTCTGACAATGGCTTGAAATAAAACAATATAAAAAAGCCTGCCCTATGACATCAGTGCCTGTGAGCTTAAGTAAACAGAGAATACCAGTGCCAGCTTTTCTAGGTGAATACCGCTCATAGGTGGGGAATTTCCACAGCAGGCTTTGAGGTTGCAGAAGATATTTTCGAGTGCTACTTCCTCCTTTCAGCAAACACCATTACCATGGTTATTTTCTAGATAAGGGCTGATATTTAACTCCAGAGCTTGGTGTTGCTAGAAATGTCTGACTTTTGGATGCTTAGGAACAGCCCTGCCCCTCTGGAAACAATTGTTCCCAGGCAAGGCTGGCAGGAGCAGGGTTTGATAGCTTTTCATTGAGAGCAAATAACAGTGTGAGTAATGCAAATCTTTCACTTAGAAAACTGGCTACAGTTTTGCTCTGTTCTTTTTCATTCCTGGTCTTAAGTAATTAAGAGTGGTTGTACTTCAGTACTCCATACCAGAAGCAGCTGAGACATACTAGTCACTGGTGTCTTAGCTGCCTGTTGTAAAAATTGTCAAAGGTGAATGTTTTGAGGTCAAAAGTACAGAATAATTATTTTTAGCAGTATTTCTCTTATGACTCAGTAATTGTGGTTGTTCATTCAAAATATTTTCCTGCTTCTGTAGCTTTCAAAAGATGATAATACTTCAAACAATATCCTAGCATTACGCAGCAGTAATGCGAAGAATTAAGTTGCAGATTGTAGGCATCTCCTGGATCAAAAATTTCCTATTCTTTCTTTAGCTGTTGGCCTGAAGTTTCTCACTCTATCTTGGGAGGGGCGGGTCTGGTTTTTGAGAGTTTTCTCTATCCTTCTGTCAGCATTGCTGGACCTTGAGCATTTTATCTCCTTTTAAAAAATCAATTTGGGCAAAATAACAAGCCATTAGTCAGAAAGGACAGGACAATTGTGGAATTTTGCAGGAAACTAGTGCCAAAGAATGGTTGAGAAGGTTCCAAGAGGTTTTACAGCATCTGTTGGTCATTGTTTCCTTTGTGATAGGAAGTGCACAAGTTCTCAGCATGATGGCAAGAGGGATTTCTGCCGAGTCTGACAAATGCTATCAAACAATGGTAAAAACAATGAAAACTCTGTGGTTTTAAGAGTGTCACTTACTAATTTTGCATTAGTTTGTGTAGCAGCCATTTCATTTCAGCTTTCTGTAGAATGCCCTTATTATGTGCTCTAGTAAAACATATTTAGGGTTTTTCGTCATCTTCAGCTGTTTAATATTGGCAATAAAGAATAAAACCTATTGTTCTGAGAACACTGTGTGGCAGAAAGGTGTAGTAGGTTTGGAGAGTTTTATTGCAAGAAGTACTTTGGTACCGTGACATTTCTGTTTTAATAAGAATGTACTTAACACTACGTGTGAGTTTCTGAGAACTTGATTGAAGACAGGATTGCAAGTAACTGTGTTAGAACAGATAGACAATTGAATATACAACTGTAGGTATACAATCAGATTTTCTCTGGTTGTGTGTAGGATTGACGTGCAGGTAACAAATTTAAACTAGTAGAATGAAAAAAACTTCACTTGAAAAGCTCTTCTGTATTACCTTAGCTTAAATATAAAAGATATGCCTCCTCTTAGCCACATTCCCTTTATTGCTTCTACTTAGTCCTTGGCCTCTTACCTCTCTTAGGTGCACTGCTTTTTCTTCTAATGATCATGATTCCTTTCGAGCACCTAACGATGAAAATTCTGTATTTTGTAGCTAGAATGTCTCCTGCAGTCCTTTAGTGACTGCTCATATAGGCAAGGGCCAAAAACACAACAGAGGTAAAACAAATTCTCATTAACCTCAAACAGCATAAAAGAGCAAGGCAGGACTAGATTCTGTCCTGTGCCCATCAACAAAGGATTGTGTACTTCCATCACACTTTTCCAGTTTCACTGAAAATGTATGCTTTTAGTGTTTGTTCTACATTTAAAAGTTGTGCTGACATAGCAGTGTTACAGAGAGGAGTGGGTTTGAACGCTGTTTTTGCAGTTGTGCTTGCAAGTCCTTCCTGAGAACTGCTTCCAGTTTAACTCTCAAATTCTTCTGCGATGTTGGCAGTTTGTCCCAAATTTTGACAGCCACAGCTTACACAGTTGCAAAGGAAAATTTGACAGCATGACCTGAATGTAACTGCAGTTAATCTGTCTGAGCTTCTGCTATCCTGGGTGGAAAGTACCTGGTGCATCTCTGTAAGTGTCACATGCAAGTGGCCACTGCTGGGAGGGGAGGCCTGCTGGCATCATTTCCTGTGGGTGACACGAGGAGATGAGAAGCAGGAAGCTGGACCCATGTATCCCGTCCTACACCTTAGCTTCTCTACAGAGTATGAAGAAAACCCTACTGCTCTCACAGACTGCAGGACAAACCCAGTGTGATACTACAGCTACAGACAGCAGGGAGGTGAACACCATGGTGCTTGGCACCCTTCTGCTGAAAGCAGCTCATCAGAATTCAGTGTCTTGTTGACCATTGTAACAAGGGGGAAGGAGGAAGTGGTGCTAAAGCCAGGCAGTAGCTTCTGTGCCCAGAACAAATCAACCAAAATGATGAAAATGAAAACCACACAAGCTGCTTACAAATTCAAGGCATCTGGTAGGCTTCATCTCTCGAATTGTTCTTGGGGGCAGGCTACCCAATCTGAGTTAGGATTACTTTTCCTATGTCACTTTTTTTTCTTTTTAACATCTTTACTGTGTCTCTTTTAATAATCTTTATACCCGAAGCCCTCAGAACTCTGGATGGGCCTACTTATTTCCTTCTCTGCAGGCGACATTGCTGTGTTGCCACTTTCAAAACCCCTCGTGTTTGAACCACCTGTTTCTGTGGAGAAACTTCATTCTTACCTGCATCGTGAAGAGCTGTAATGATTCACAGAGCTTCAAAGCAGGTTAACATGACCTTTATAAGCATGAGGTTTGGCTAGGAGGAGGGAACATTTTGTTTGTGAAAAAACAATGTTTTGTCCCAGCGTGCGAGAATAAGAGAAATGGGAGAAGATAAGGCCATATTACAAAGCCTTTAGAACAATGTACTATTTCCCTTAAACCCTAGACTTTTATCCTATGGCCCTGCAGTAGTGGAGTCTCTCCGAACATCCAATTTTGCTATTCCTGATTTTGTCAGGGTGACCCCAACCTAGAGCTTCAAGACCGCAGCAATGAAGAGGATCCACAGCATACAGAATAGCATACTTGCTCTGCACCAGCAGAATAGGTCTGCATCTGAAAAGAAGCGTGGCATTTGTGTTTTAGTTCCTTGAAATTCAAAATGCTAGTGTGTAAGAGTGTGACTTATGAGGGACCTTCTGACAAGCAGAAGATGGAACTTTGCTATGACAGTAAAAATGCAACAATCGTAAAAGTGTATCAAGTAATTTTACAACACTCCATTTCATATCTCATCCCAGAGAATGATGATACTTCCTTTTCACAGTCGTTAAGTGTGCTAGCTCCAAAAGTGTCCTTTCTTGTACTTCTGTGATTGAGTATGCTTTACTCCATGCAATAGTTGTTTACAGCACACCAGTCTTCTACTGGTTGCAAACACATTTATTCCAGACAATGGTGCCAGTGCTTATCAGTTCGTATTGGCCATTGAAAAACAAAAGGCAGACAAGAAGGCTTCTGTTTTCAGTGGCTGGTCAGGATAGTACTGGAAGTCACTTCTTGGTGCTTTTCACCCTGTGCTAGAGGACAGCTGCCAGCGCTCAGGGTCCTCTTTCATTCAGCACTGCCTTCCTGGAAGTGGTGTCCTGGTAGGCTCTGGTTGGGGCTAATTCTGGCACTGACCTCCCTTCCTTTCACAAACTGTGCAGTGATGATGTTCCAGGGAGGTTTTCACAGTGAGTCATTAGAGCCCTACAAATCCAGTTAAAACAGACAAACTTGTCAAAATGAGTCATATCTTTCAAGTGGTGATTGCTATTTTGAGTGACTAGCTTACATTATGCTTACCAGGACACTCAGGAACCCGTGGTGTGTAAACTTCCCCGCTGATCTCCATTCCCACCGCGCGACCAGGCAGGGCAGCTGTATTACTTGTGTCACTGAACGGGTGAGGCACCTTCCTCTTCCCCAGATGGTGTTTCTGGGCGTACACAGCACCAGGTTGGGAGGAAGTGGCTTTGGGTGTCTGTGAAACGTTGCCTCAGGCAAAGGATGTCATCGCTCTCCTTGGCCAGCCCTTCGAAGCAGCCTGGACATCCGGTGCCTCTGCCTTGGAAGGAGCTGGAAATGGGACAGGGAAAGCAAAGGCACCTAAAACTGTGCCAAGTGTGTGCAGGGAAGAAAGGCAGGGTCAAGGATGTGCTGGTCGTAGTCACTCCCATGGAGGATGGGCTTGGAGGACAGGAGGTGGTCAGGAGGAACAATTGGACTCGCACACAGGGAGAAAGCAATCTCAAACCAGAAAGCTGCAGCATGGGAAGAGTCGGCAGTAGCTGGATGAGGCTGCTTTTGTGATGCAAAGGGACAAAAGGGAGCTGGAATTGTGGAGGAGGAAGTCAGCAAAGAAGCAAAAGCACTGGAGCAAGTGTATTTGCCATGAGAGTAAAGAGCAAGAAGGAGCACGGTTTGTAAAAAAAAAAAATTGTGTGCTTAAAGGAAGGGATGGGGAGAACAGATTGCTATGAAATTACAGTTTGTTACAGTGCTAACATAAGTTAGCCAAAGTTGTACGTTCCCCCAGCATTTGTGTGTGCTCCCGTCACCACACACCCACCCCAAACACTGCTCAATTTACTACAACTACTTTCAGTGCCCCAAGGCCAGAAGAAGGACATCAAAGGAAATGATAAGAGAAAAAGCTGGAGGACAAGAAACAGATACACAAGTAAAGGAAATTATGAACGGAAGAGGAGGGTGGGGGAGGACGGCAAAGTCTGGTGAGCCGAATATGCTGAAATAATGCTGTTTTTCTAATAGACCTCATTTGAGAGGAGCTCTTTCAGGTTGTGGTCTCTGAATGGCTGGAGCTGTTCCAGTTGTGTTGCAGGGAGATATTACAGTATCTGCTGCAGCCACAAAGAAACAGTTAAGAGCAGTGTAAACTGTTGCAAGAGTACAAGCAAGAGTTTGCTTGTGACAGTTACAAACAGATAAAATTGTCCTTGTTTGGCTACTGATTGAGGGGAAAGGGAAAAAAATCATACTGTAACCCTTTTCAGGGCACTATTTTTCTCTGTTGTCTTGTGTTTTTTTTTTTTTTTTTTTTTTTTTGTTTGTTTGTTTCTTTTTCTCTCCTCGTTGGACATTAACTGCATTGATCTGCAGTTACTCAATAGATAAAGAGGAGTTCATTTTTCAGTGCTGTATGTTCAGCATTTTTTCAGGAAATAGAGAAATTCAAAAAAAAAAAAGCTGTCTTACAGGTTTCGCAATTCACTGATGATAACTCTAGTGGAATTTCTGTTGGATACCTCATTTTTTTCAGTCTGCAAGTTCATATTTGGTGTCAAAGGGAAAAACTCACAATTACCTCTTCAGGTATGCCAGGTTTAAAGGCAGTTATATTTAAAAAAAATTTAGCTGGAGAATCCTCCCCCTGCTCCTTGAGGAGAGGCATAACCTGTATTTAAAGTTGCTGCACAAAATTCGGGAAGTAACTTTGTCCTCGTTTCCTTACCGTCCCTTCTCCAAACTGAAGCCCTGTAATGAGGAGCTGGTTGGAAATACTCCCGTGGAACTGAGAGCAATTTGAACAACACCCATGTGCTGTGACTGAAATGCTTCTTTTGAAGCTATCAATCGCAGACCTTGAGCTGGGTTTCAGCTGGAGCCCTGCCTGCCTCCCTGGCACCGTGCCCCAGAACCACAGACCAACCATACGCCTGCATGCCCTGGGCCTGGGCCAGGCTGCCCAGACTGCCTCTGGCTCCACGGCTCTGAGGCGGACCCACCAAGCTGGGGGTGGCAGCGTCTCATCGTCAGCTGCCAGCACTGACTCTGCCTGCGGTACTGGGAGTTCAGCTTTGCTGCTGGCTGAAGCTGCTGGAACTGGAAGCTGTGGATAGATTTGGGTTGCCAGGTTTGTTTCCTCAGCGGCACCTTTCTGCCGCTGCCTCCACACACAGCTGGGGATGTGCAGTTTACAGGGCAGGCTGAAAAGTAACCCTGTTGGACCCCCTCTGCCCTGCCCCCAAATGCAGAAGCACGCAGTTGGCTCAGCAGTTCCCTTCAAAGAAAGAGAAAGCAAAAGGTAGGATGTTTTGGCTGGCAGACCACAGCTAGACCTGCTTCAGCTCGTGGTCCAGCTGCAGGCTGCATGGCCAGCCTGTGGCTGTCCATTAGTTTAGTGGCTCCTACCAATACTAAAGAGTTTCACCAAGCAGGCAGGTCCACAGCACATAATATCTAAACTAAAAACAAAATATGCTGGTATTTATTTCAGTACTTGGTGCTTCTTACATTTGCATTTGCTTTTGAGAAGCCCTGTCAGAGAAACAATTAAATGAATTTAAATAAATCTCACAAAAGCTTTTAATTTCAATGGGGGATAGATTTCCCCTGCTCCCATGCATGAACCTTTCATGGCTAAATGAAATACTGGACAAGAGAATGGCAGAATGCCAGCCCTCTTTATTTTGTGATATTGTAATAATAATGATCTCATATGATATTATTACCCTGTTTTATACTCATTTTGGCCTTTCCCCTTTTTCCACAGAACATCTCCTTTGTTATTCATTGATTTTATTCGTGTAATAGCATTACCCTGAAACACAGGCTAGACTGAGGCTGATGCACATAACCACCCAAGAAGACAGAGCAATCACACTCACCCACGGTGCTGTTCAGTGTAATATCTGTCGTGTTCACCGAAAGCTGCACCTCCTCTCTCTCTCTGTTGTGGGCTCTAAAATAAGCAGAAACCATGAGCTCGGGGAGTCTGAGCTAAACGGGGCAGGAGGCAGAGGAAGTGAGAAACTGAGAACTACCACACACGTTTACCTTCTTCCCTGCCATCCGTATCTGAGCAGGCACTAGGACACCAGGCTAAATCGCTCTTAGAATAGACCCAGTACAGCTGATTTCATGCAGCACCTGAATCTGGCTCTGGGAAGTGGTGAGAATAAAACCTGAATCTCACGTAATTTTCGTCATCGACCGAAGCCTTAACAAAAAACAGACCGTCACTAATCATATTGAGCATTCACTGGGGAAAAGTTCCTCAACCGGTTCCATTTCCCTGTTCAAGCAACTTTGCTCATGGTACATAACGCTGTATAGAAATAGCATACATGACATTATACGCACATAAAAACTGCTCTAAAAATGAAGCACTTGCTAATCTTGTGTGGACATTGTGCTAAAAGTGGTGTATCCATCAAAAGGAAACCAAAATCCATTTCATGCAAGCTCATCAAGAAAACATACACAATATGCAACCATTTCACAGCTGCCAAAAGAGATCAGTCTAATTTCTTTTTTTAGCTAGAAGGGGAAATCTAACCAGGCAAAGCTGGTGAGAGCCAAGAAGGCTATAAAAAAAAAAAAAAAAAAAAAGGTAGAAACAATTCAGAATTTCATCCAAAGGCAGAAGAGTTTGTCAGAGCAGTGCATGCACTGGGCTAAGCGAAATAGTGTGGTTGCACGTGAGGCATGTCAACTATGGGTTTGTTGGAGTGTTATTTGTAACCCTGGGAATTAGAGCTATAGAAATCATTTCAGGCACTTCTGTTTCTGGTATTCCTCTGTCCTTTTCTATCTTTCCCCCAGCTCTGTCCCTTTCTCAGCCCTCCCCCACACAACAACTGCCTGCCAGCTGGCGATACTTTCCTTTGTCTCTCTGCAGAGACCATTAGGTCCAAGCATGTCTCGATGAATTTGAGGATATCATCTGCTTGCGCGTACTGAGTAATCAACAATTTCCACAGGACAACCACTCTCACTTAGCTTCTATTCTCTTAAGGATATCTCAGAAATGGCATGAGTTGTTTAAATGTTTTAAATTGGCACTGAGCGAAGCCCTCCTGCCCTTCTCCCCACCGGTCTCCAACCAGCATGCCATGAGAAGCCCCTTTAGCCATAAGAGAGGCCAGATACTGAAACCATTTGGAAAAAAATGGATTTGGATGGTGGGCAGGGTGGCTGGGTGACTCTGACCAAGTTCTCCCTCGGCAGCAGGGTCACCAAGCAGAGTGGGCCAGGCGCAGGCTCCTTGAGGGGTGCCACGTCAGCTGTCAGACAGAAGACGTGACTCAGGTGCACCTTAGGTGCACCTATTTTTCCTCTCCAGGAGAGTGCAGTTAATGGCTTTCTCCTGGAAGAAGTGACTCCATCTGGCTTTGGCTCCCAGTGCACGCCGCCCCAGCAGACGCTGTGGAGATGTGCTTACATTTCCATGTTGTCCGCTGTGCAGTCACTTGAGGCCCGCAAGGCATCCAGCCACTCAACCTCTCGAGACCCCCGTCACTGCCTCTGAAGAGAGTGAAGTGTCCCTAGCCAGGTATTCCTCGGATAAGAGGAGTGGTGCTATTAGAATTACTACAGTGCCGTTCTGCTGCCAGTGGATTCCTTGTGCTCGGTTACCTACCGCAAATTTAATCTGTGAGCATAACAGGCTTCTCGCCGTGTTTTCACAGCCCGGCTCTTCAAAGTAAAGCCCTTTGTTCCCAGCTAGGAGGATAAATGGGTTTTAGCTTCATTTTCTCAGAGGGAAGCTTATGTGATTGCACTGTCTGTCATCTGTCTATGCCGATAAGTTTTTAACTGCCACAGCCAATTATAATTATTTCCAAAGAAAAACATCGCCAGAGGCAGACACATCTCCATGATAATTATATTTCTATGGGTTTTGTGAAAGAAGGCAGCAGACTGGGTCGGGGATGGGGATGGGGAGGAGGAGGGAGAGGACAGAGCACAAGACCACAGTGTCCTGCGAAGGGAATCTGGGAGACCTCGGCTGTCCCCTCAGCCTGCAGAGCCTGCGGGCACTGCAGTGTTGGGTGACACGAGCATCCCTCTGAACGTCCCACAGAGGAGCAGGCAGCGGCACTATTTGTGCCCTCGAGTTGTACTTGCAGGTGGCAGAACTTGTATGGCAGATGGGGTGGGCTGGCCGCTGCCCCCAGGGAGGACTGGTGTGCTCGGTATGGGTGGAATATGCTCTGTGCTGCAACTAGCTGAACATGCTTAGCGACGGCATTGCCGATAAAATGTGGTGGGCAACGCGTGTTCTGTGCTCAGAGACCTGCTCATGACAGCCGCTAAGGCCAGGTTTGAATATTTAGGTGATGGAGCCATGGTAATTAAAGATCCTCAGAGCCTAATCCTCTCTGAAATCAGAAGGGACTACGACTTACACTGCATCAGAAGTCAGGTCTTTAAACACCTTTAAAGCTGTCAGCCTTCCTTCTCTAATACCTTAGAACAACTGACCCTCTCTCTGAGCAAATCCTGACTGAAATGAGAGGCTTCTGGAACTGCCTTTGAGGATAGAGTAGAAAATTATAGTTTTGGCACAACGTAACCATTCCCTGGAATCCAACACGTTGTTTCCCCATTACATAATTTTCTTGGATGTGTCGCAACGCCTAGGGTGAAAGACCGTGTTCACCGCCGAGATACCATAACATATAATTTCTATCAGCTCGCTGATAATCTGACCCACATCTCCGGGAGCCTCATTTCAGCAGAGGGCAGCTGCAGATAGCACAGCAGACAGTTGCTCTGTTGCCATCGGTCTGCCACAGGTGAAGCCGCTGGTCTGCAAAGGGAACTGCACGCACCTTGGGCATGCAGTAAGAAGTATGGGTAAGAGCCAGGGAAGAGGGGTGTGAAAGAAGCACCGTTTCCCTAAAATTGTTTTGAAACGGATGAAAAATGACTGCATGTCAAACAACTGTGAAAGGTTTACGCTTATTCACAGCATTCCTTTATTTTTGACTAGGTGAGCAGCAACTGTTCCTGAAAGTTAATTCAGGCTTTGGTCTCTTGTAATGCTTAGAAGCCCATTAATATTTATAAGCGTTGCTCTAATTCCTTTTTTGCCCTCTTGCCCAGGCAGGATCTCATAAGAAAATTTTGCTTTTTTTTTTTTTTCTTCGACAAACTATGGTAAGTTCAGGGCTAAGCTTGTTCTATAAATGTCATGTTCTGTAGAGCTGTGATGTATAGCCTTTGGTAGCCTGCCTCTGCCCCCAAGATGGTTCTGATTTAGATCCTAGGCCTGGAGGAAATGATACGGAGCCTATTCTCAGCCCTGCCACTGGCTGATTATGCGACTTTAGTCACTTCATTTAACCTCAGCATGCTTTGGTTTGCAGATCAAAAAAAAAAAGGGGGGTAACATCTTCCTTTGTGACTGCTTTGCGGTGCTGGGAGAACAAAGTATTACCTATAGTGTTACTATAGTGCTGTGATTTCCAGATGCAGATGGTTTCTGTGAGCGTTGTGACACAGGGCAGCACGTACGTCGAGCGAGCCCATGAACACAGAGGTCAGGCCACTGCTGAGGGAGACAGCTCTCACAGCCAGTTTGACAAATCTATCCACAGATACCCTTTGCTTTAGGCACACAGGCTTTTATGTCACTCTTCAGAATTTCCCTGCCAGCTAGGCCCGTCGCTGCCTCCTGTGCTCTGGTTTGTGTGTGTGCTGCATGCCTGTAGCAGCTTCACTTGCTGCACACAGATAACAGATGATCAATGGCACTCCGAAGAGCTGTAAACCAGTATAAAATGGCAGATCGGTGTCTAGTAATGGCACTGAAATAGCTGCCTAATTTAAAGAGAAAAACTGTGCCTCGCAAGTCGTAAATGAGGGACTCATGCACAGTTTTGAAAATGCATGAACCACTGCTGTAGGAGCACTTGGGCCCACTCTGCAAGTCAGATGTGGGGCTGGCTTTTCATAGCTTTCGAGATGTTCCTGTGGCAAGCTGTTAGAGTGTGTGGGGTTTGCTTTGCACACCTAGCTTGGAAAGGAGAGCAGAACAGCCTAACATTTCTCTCAGTGGGAATCCAGAGCCTCCGAACCGCCTCATGCTGCCTAATCCAGTTTCCTGAAATTCACATCACGGAGAGGCATCGCTGACCTTTCTCAGCAGCAGCAGGCAGAGCACAGCTCCCTCCAGAAAACCGGGGAAACTGCATGCACGGAGAGTTATTTTGGGGGGATTTGCGAAACCCCTCTCAGGAGTACAGGAGGCAGCACCTGCCTCAAAGCAGCACCCTCTCGCGCAAGCCTCCTGTCTGCATGAGCTTCCCAGCGAGCGCTGTTCAGCTCAGAGGCGAGCGTGGGTGCCTTATGTGCCTTAGCAACAGAGGCGTGCTGCAGCTGCAGCCTCCTGCTCTCTGCAGCAGGAGCAGAGCCTCCCCACAGCTTTCTGACAGGCGACACGCTGTGTGGCTCACCACAGAGCCCTCGCTGGCCCCAGCACCTGCCCGCGGCCCGCAGCATGCTGGCACTTGGTCCGGGCACAGATGCAGGAGCTCTAACAGCCGTGCCTGGCTCCCACTCGAGCCAGCTTCTTCTGGCTCCAGAGAACATCATCCGAGTCCCTCCGGCAGGAGCGGGATCAGCTGCTTCTCGCCATCCTGCAGTCAGATGGCTCCGGGGGCTCCGGGCTTTTTACTCGAGCCGAGTGCCGGAGGGTGTCTGAGCGCTTCATGGGATCTGGGGAGAGAACAGGCACAGCGGGCAGGGCACGAGTCATCACTTCACGGGGACGGGCAAGGGGAAGGGGACGAACCTCCCAACGCAGCGCTGCTGTTGGGGATAAGGAGACGTTGTAAGGGCGCGTGAGGCGTTAACGGACCGCCCGTGCCTCAGAGGATTTCCCTTCTGCCCTGGCTCCCACCGCCCCAGCCCCTGCTGGGCTGTGGGGCTTTGACACCATACAGCGGTGCACGCGTGTCCATATGTGCCTGTGTAGCCGCCCCCCCGCTTCGTGCTCTGCCTGGAGGGCTGGCAGAGGAGCCCCAGCCGCTGAGGGAGAGCAGCGCGGGGGCGGCCGCCCGCACCCCCGCCCACGGGGCTCTGCCCCTCCCCACAGCGGGGCGGGGAACCGGCCGTTGGCGACCGTTAGGGGCAACGCCCGCCCCCGCGCTCCGGCGGCCAATCAGCGGCGGCAGAGGGTGCCCCCCCCCCCGCCGCGCAGCTCGGCCCCGCCCCCCCGGGGCGGCTGCGGCGGCCAGCGGCGGAGGAAGGCGCAGCCCCGGCTCCGCTCCGCTCCGCTCCGCTCCCCGCCGCCATGAGCCTGCCGGCCGCCTGCCCGCCGCTGCTGCTGCTCCTCCTGCTGCTGCTCGGCGCCCTGCGCCACGGTGAGTCCCGAGAGGCTGGGGAAGCGCCGCAGGTTTGAGTTGTGCGCCTGTGGTAGCCCTGCGGGGTGAGGGTGCTGCCGGGGCTGGGCGGGCGGCCGGGGGGGGTCCCTGGAAATAACCCTTCCCCTCACAGAGTGCCCTCCTGCGGGAGCCGGCGGTCGTACGGCAATAAAACAGCCCCGCTTCATAGCAGGAGGCTGCTCAAACTCGGCCCAAGGCCGCTGCTCCCGAACGCCGGGGCTGTCCCGGTGACGCAACCCCCCTCTCGGCTTGCTTTCCCTTCCCCGTCCTGCCTTTAGTCACCGGAGCCGTGCCCCGCTGCCGGCCCGCTGCAGGCGTGGCTGCCAGACGTTGCTCGGAAGTCCCCGGGGCTGCCCGGCGGCTGTGGCGTGGGCTCGGCACGCAGCGCCGGCCTTATCTCACACAAATAAGTCCCCGCTGAGGCTGTGGGGAAGCCCGCTGCTAGGATTGCTGGGCAGCGTTCGGTACAAACGATGAAAAACAGAGGAAATAAAAGCCTTTGGACTTCGCAGGCGAGCTAGTTTAATTGACTTCTGGCTTCCGGTTCTGGGTGTGATTTTAGTACCGATGTTACCGAGCGTCGGTGTGCTCAGGAACTGGAGAATGGGTTTTTGTTTCGGATAAAATCTTGATGTCTTCCTTAAGCAGTGGTCACTAGTACACTGTAGGAACGGTGCTGCGGTGTTGGAAAAGAGGTTAAAAGCAGCAGCAGGTAACATAACATACGATGATTTCTCGTTACTCGCATTGAACACCATTCATGCGTTAAGCACCGTGCTTTACAGTACAGGATGTGAGTTCATTGTCACAAATTCTCCGTTTTCAATCCCGTTGTTTTACATACTCAAACACTTAGTAGAAAAGATTGTTTGAATATATTAATTTTGTTTGCGCTTCCTTCGTTGGGGAGGAAGACGAAAATGAAAGTGTTCTAAATCTACAGGCATTTGGCTCCACCTTCAGAGATGAGAAGGAATAAGTAACAAGCTTTTTTGTTGTTGTTGTTTTTGTTTTTTTCTAAGCTGCTCTGCCTCTGTTTTCTCAGTAGAGGTAGAAATTTTTCCCTCTGACCTTAACGAGCTGTGATGGATGCTGGTGTGGAGCTGGTGGCAGCTCCTGCCACTCTTCTACTCCTTCTACTCCTTCTACTCCTAGGCAACTGGGTGATCTGCAAGAAAAATTTGATCAGTGGCACTGCTTCTGGTCAATGTTATGCACGTGCTTTGCAGAAGCCAAGCCTTAAGGCAGGTTTTCTGCGTGTGGCATGTCAGGGGAAGTGTCCAAATGGCAATCCAAAGCCTTATTACTATTTTTTTTTATTTATGACTGCTTGTGGTATCTGTTACGTTACATGCGTGTGGGAGTGGCTAAGCCTGAACACTAGGGCTACAATGGAATTACAATAATGACATTTTTCTTCTTTTGCTCCTCCCTTGGGAGCAGGATGCTTTCTTATGATTTTGAGGGAGAGTTTTTGTTTTCTTAAGTTGTGTTTTATAATTATTTTTTTCTTCTGTTTCTTTTTTTTTTTTTTGTATTAAGAAATAATTCTGAATGTATCAATTTTCATTTTTTTCTTTCTAGGTTCTGCCCAGCTGGTGTTTAGTCCAGTAGATTTTGTTGAAAGAGATGCCTGTAATACTACTGTCGTTTTACCTTGCCACGTGGTTAATCTAAAGGAGCACAATGACAGTAACATGTTTGTTGCATGGAAAAAACAAGGAATAGTACTTTTTTCTTTTGATGGAGCACAACAGCGTGTTTACAGGCATGAGACGGTTCCATCAGCTAACTTGCTGTCTCAGCAGGATTTATCTAAGGGCACTGCCTCTCTAAAACTCAAAAGTTCGGAAGCAGAAGATGGAAATTACAGTTGTGAAGTAACAGAATTAAACAGAGAAGGAGAAACAAAAGTTGATCTTAGAACCGTCACAGGTGAGTTGTCTGCTTGTCTTAGAACCTGTTGGGAGAGGAAAGCGAGATCTTACAGGAAAGAATAAAATAATGAATATGACAGTATTGCTACTGGAAATGGAACGTGCCAAGCATCGTGTAGCATCCAGGCCTTCTAACTTGAATGTTGCTCTGTGTTACTTTGTGTTGAAGGGCGTGTTTCTGTGGGAAGGATCTGAACACATTTTTTCTATTCTGTACCAATAGTTGAAGGGGGTTTGTCTGATAAGATAAAGTCTGTTTTTTCTTACATCTTTTAGGTTATGTAGTTGGTGTTATTTTCAGCACCTTCATGTTATTGTGTTACATACTGACGCATATTCTTAATATGTTTGTACTACTGAGACGTATACAGGCATCACAGGGCAGCAGAGATGTTTTGTTTGACAAATTGTGTCTTCCAATCTTTAGCTGCACTGAAAAAATTGCAGATGGAACTAATAGAAATGTTGTATAAGAGCTCTAAAACTTGATCGAAAATGCTGTTTTTCTGTGAGGTTAAGAACGCTACTACTAGGTGATAACTTTTTCGAGTTGTGCAGCATTAAATGGCGTCTTTGGACAGACGATGTTAGACTGAAGTAATGGGGACTAAGTGATGAATTTCATGTCTAGCAAAACATTTTACCTTATCTTGTCAGACACAGCTCATGTGCTGTAGTGCCTTAGCTGTTGAATAATGGTATGTGCTATACGTGGGCAGTCTGCCTAGTGTGCTGCAGAAGCTGCAGTTTCACTGAACGTGTGTGTATTTGTTGTTTATCTGTTTGGCACAGGAGACTTGATTCTTGCTTCTGGTTTCTCAGAGCTGAACACGTTGCATATACATTGCGCGTGGAGTCTCACGGGTCTGCTGGAGAATTGTCCTAAGACATATTTTGCTATCAGTTTTTGCATTTGTCATTAAGCTGTTTCTGGATACCAAGCAGATGTTACTTTGTGCCTGATGCAAACATCTTGGTAATGCACAGTCTAATTATAGAGTTAATTGTATCCACTGCAAAACAAATGCACTCCTGAAATAGGCTGAGAGAGGGGGGGTACAGCCACTGAAAGAGTGAGGATGCTACAAAATCATTCAGTTCTTAAAACACTGCAAAAACAGAGGATGAAGAATAGGCATCTTTTTTTTTTTTTTTTTTTCTTCATTCTCTGTTATTGCCTTCCCCTCACTTAGCCTTTTTGGGCTGCTTTTGTTATTCAGTGTTGAGCAGTAGAAGAGAAAGTAAAGCTTTAGGACCTGAGAACACCAAGTCCCATTTGTACATAAGCTGGGCCAGTGTTAAGGTTTATTGAAGACTGGGTCTTCTGTTTAGAAGACTTTAAAAATGAAGGTTTTTGTCCTTTTAGGAAAGGTCAGTAATCTTGTATTAAAACATTGCCTGTGATGCAACTTTATTTATTTATTTTTTGTTTTCTTTTTGCCTTTTTTAATCATTTCTATTTGCTTAGAACCCTGAAAGAGTTGTAAAGACCTACAAAGCAGGAAACTAATGTAAGTTTTCTAATTCTGTTTTCTAGTTGACAATTGTGGTGAGGAAAAAGCTCCAACACCAGACAATAAATGTGGTTGGTAAAGAAATTGTTACAAGCTTGCTCTTCCGTTTCAGAGCATATGCTGAAAAATGCAAAATCTAGTCTTGTGCTTGAGGTTTTATCTGAAGGTAAAATAGTTGCTTGCTCTCGTTTTAAGAGCTTTGGCTTAATCCTCTGGTGTTTGTTCTTCAACATTTTAGATACTCTTGAGAAGGAAGTGTAGCAAAGGAGTTTTGAAAAAGATTGGTTAATAACGGAAATCTTGTTGAAGTCTTCACTCTCATTTCTGAGCGGTGAACTTATGCTGCCACTCCTACTATGTTGCAATTGATTCTAGTGGCTGTATTATAAAAGCCAAATGTTCTCCATTTTCCCTTGGCCAATGCATGCTTTCTCTTTAGAAAGCAGGTAAGCAGGTAGTATAGTGAAGAAGATGCCTGTGCTCTTGTCTTTGGCCACACCTTTTCCTGGTATCTTCACAGGCAAGCAACCATAACAATGTGTTTTTTTTGATGTGTAGATTTTATTTTTTCCCCTATGGAAAGTATCTGGAAGTGTCTGTTATTAATTTGGAGCTGGCTTCCCTATATTGGCTTTCAAACTGATGTATCTAGCCAGGAGTTTATTTTATTTCTATGAAGCACTGCATTAAGGGTAATGTATTAGCAAGAAAATGTGTTCAGCTGCTTCTTGTACTTGCGCATACCAGCAATATTGCAAGCCTCTCCACGCACAAAGTGCTTTTAGACTCTGAGACTCAACCATAGTTGCTTGCTGAAATCCTAGCAGATGCGAAGCTTTGTGGCTGCTTCTTTGTGTGCAGAATATGTGGTAATACCACCTGGAAGTGCTGCAGAGAAAGTTATGCTACTTGTCAGTCTCTGTTTGCAGCTGCTTTCGAGTCAATGCTAATTTCTTTGCATCAAGCACTGGCACTGGGATTTGCCTGGTTTATCCAAAGAGTGGCAACTGTGCACTGTGAGAAGAGCTGAAAGCAAGGATTTGATGTGGAGAAGTGTTTCCTTACCATCAAATAATGCTTTTCTTCCTCTTAGGTATTCGTTTCGCTTTACAAACATGAATCTTCATTGATAGTCTTTAATAATAGAACAATTGAGCCAAAACAATCAAGTACAGTGGAAGTCTTTAGTTTCCACTTTCCTTAAACATGCTCTCTGTGGAATTCATGAATTTCAGACTGTCCTCAAGGTATTACTTGTCACTGGAAATTGTGAGGCATTGCTACTTAATTCCATGTTTCTGGAGCCACAGGTAGAGTTTTGAAATATGGCAAGTGCAAGGAGTATGCATCTAAATGAAGATGAGAAATTTCTTTGGAAGCAAGTATAACATAAGAAAATGCGACTGTGGATTCAGCTGTGTGAGCCTAAATGATGTTATGAGCAGAGATGCTAGAAACAACTCCATTTTCCAATTCAGTGGAGAGGTTTTCAGAATTGCATGTTGGAAGGTGGCTTGTATGATCTTACAGCACAAGTGACTGAACAGCCTAAGGCATCCAAACTGCAAGGGAAAAAAGCTAAATGGATGATGGTGGGAAGACAAAGGAAAATGTGTGATTTCTAAAATTAACAAAGTGGTGCTTCTGTCAACCTTGGGCTAGATCCTCAATTTCTTATCATGTATCTGTATTTCTTTGGGAATTAAAGCCGTTGGGAATAGAGTAGGACAGCTGGGGAAGCATCAGATCTTGCCTTACTTTCCTGATTAGCCTAAATTCACCATATTTCTGATCTAATGTGCTGTTTGGAATTCCACAACTTGTGCTGCTAGACAGCAGCATAAACACAACATCTGCTGTACTGGAGATCAAGACCTGCGGTTTGAAAATGTTACAGTAAGTAGAAATACCTGAAAAAAAAACAGGTTGTCACAAGATTGGAGTGAAAATTACATAGGTAGAAGTCATGGCTTTCCTAGAATTCAGATGTATAACAGGCTAGCTATTAAATGCTAAATGACCAATCTAGGGGATAGCCTAAAAGGAGCAATAAATGCTAGTAATCTCACGTTTTTCTTCCTATTATTTTTCTTTGTTTATTCTGTAGGGCGACAGTTTGACTTTATGGAAAGTGTTGTCATCTCAGTGTTGCTGTTCTTAATTGTTGTTTTTTATTGGGCTCAGATAGGTGTTATTGGTAAGTATTGACTCTAATTCTTTGCAACTATTGACTTGTGCTAAAATTGCTTACGTAAAAGTATCTGTGCAGGATGAAAGGCAGTATTTATGTATAAAAGGATGTGTGGTAGAACTGATTCAGATAATATACAGCAGGGCAGCATGTCTGCTTTATCTAGCAACTTAGCATTTGGGTTTCTCTAGAACTCTGTCCTGATCATCCACGATGTATTATTTATGTTCATTTCTGGGATTGCTTTTGAAATGAACTAACACCGTTAGAGATTTAACTTGGTTGCAGTTCTCAGAAAAGTTCCTAAGCTCTCTTACTTGCAGGCATTGTCAGTAAAAGCACACCAAGTTAAACTTTTGCCCTGCGTAATTTTCAATTTTGCTTTTCAGTGGGTCTTATGTTCTTTCAAGGGCATGTAACGCACATTTTTGGCATTGAGCACAAGACCTGATCAGTAATATCTGTGTTTTGGGGCTTCAGCATGCCACTTGTTGGCAAAACATATGTAATGTGGATAGAGGCACTTTGCTGTGGGGTTCTAGCCCTAAGCACTGGGATCTGGTCCAGTCTGCTCTACTTTGTGTGGAGGCCAGGGGTTGCTTTCTGAGGTTAACATACTTAGCTGTAAGATCACAGAAGGTATGATGTGTTGCCTAAAAGGCCTGTGTTCAGAGCTAGTCTGCTGTATGGTAATGGTTCTGCTCCCAGTTTTGTTGCAAATGATGAGCTTTTTTGCATGTGTGGAAGTTTTGCAGGGTGTAATTGATAACGTCTACTATCCTTGATTACAATCAAGAAGTGTTTGTTCACTGTTAGTTCACCATGGCATTAGTGGGTGATGAAAAGTAAAAACATTTTTCATTTTGGCCACAAAATCAACATTAGAGAAAGATCATGCTATCTTTTTCATGTAAAATTCTACATTAGTTTCTTGAGTCTGGCTGAATTGTAATTTAACACTGGCATCAATGATTTTGTTAAATGTTTTCAGAGACAATACATCCACCAGTGTCTGACATCCTCTTCAGGCATTCTTCATACAATGGTGTCCAACATGTATCCAGCATAGAGAGTGCTTTGTGTCCTAGTCTTTCAGATAGTTCTCTGTGGTGCAATTTGTTATATCAGTCTTTGAGATTTTTCAGCATTTTTTAATTTTTGGACTTTGAAATAAATTCTGCTTAGAGTCAAGTCCATAAAAAATGGAAGGAAATCACACTCAGAGTGATTTATAGTAATCACATATGTATTCAGTCGTCTATGGTTATAACTTGCTTTCTTAACCTTTTTATGAATCAGGAAAGGTTCACCTGTGGTCAGAGGCTGAAAACTAATATATATATTGTTTTATGGTTTTATTTCTATAGTGTTAGATTCCTGAGTTTTTCATTATTATTTGTAGTGGTTGAAGGCTCTCTGTTTTGTTCTGAAATGTTCTGGAACTGCCATTGCCTTGCATTTGTACCAGAACTTGCATATTTTTAGTATTTTGATAGCAAAGTAATAATTGCCTTGGGATATCCATGAATACATCCATGGAGAAGCACTATCATTTTACAGGAGTAAGTTGAGCCTACTTGGATTTTATTGCATCTCTGTACATTATTATGAGCTCTATAACTTCTCTGGGGAAAAGTAATCCTGCTACTTCTAAGTCATTGAATGTGGGTGTACTTACTTTTTTGTCCTTTAGTTTACACTATTTTAATAAACCTGTGAATCCAGTGATGGTAGGGTATACCTGTAGAGTCATTTGTAACAGATATGTATTTTTTAAATGGCTTGATTTTTCTGTGTGACACTTGGGAATATATGGGGGGGGGAGGTTGGTTGGTTTGTTTTTTCACCAGGATTAACTTTTAGGAATTGAATATAGTGTAGATCTTGTGCTGTTAAGCCACGTGAACGTAATTAAAGGTAGAGTTTTAATTACAAGAGAGAGCATTCTGTAACCTTTCCATAGATAAAATACTATGAAAGATTTAGTCATGTATGCCCTCTAAAGTATTTATTGTATCCTAGTAACGTTGGGGCATTTTGTGCTAATGCAATGCCTGTAAGCAGGATGTTATTTCTGTACATGCTCCTTGTTATTCCTTTTGAAGTTATTTACTGTATTTGTTCTCTGCTAGTGATTACCAACTTTGACATATATCAAGGTTGTTGGTATATGGATTTTCAAGCTTGGAGCTAGCATTGCCGCCTTTGTGTCTTCATTTTAGCAGTGCATAAAGCAGAAACAAAACAAACATGGATGTTTATTGTGATGATATATTTGCACTGTTCCATCTTTTACAAGATCCTTCAAGAGCTGCTCGTTTGAAACCCTCCAGTGGAATTAACTGTTGCTGAGATAGCAGCTATTTTAACAGTGCAGTTTTACTGAAAATTAGTCTTGTCTTATGGCATCTAAACATATGCAGATCATTCCTATCTACTTAACCTCAAAGCATTCCAGTGAGACAGGAGAATCACCCTGTTGTGCATCTAAAAGCGTCATTAGGAAGAGGGTTTTTAAATCCATGTCTGACATTCAAATTAGTAACAAAATTGCTGTGGTATAATTTGAATATCAGTAATAAATCACCTTGAATTAACCTGTACCATGTCCCCAAGTTATTTTGACAGCATTGAACCTGAATAGTGTAGAAGGTGGAATTAAGAGTTTAACTAGAAGACCAATGGTAGGTTTCACTTAAATGAGTAAGCCATATTGACCATATCAAACAGTGAAAGCAAATGAACTCTTGGTACTTAGAAACAAACTCCTAAGATATACAGTTTTTTGTTTAGGACAGTAGTCCTAGTTATATGTGTTGATTTTTTTTGTGAGAGAATCTGTGTGTCTGATCGGTTTCCTCTGTTTTTCTTGGTTTCATTTTTAAGCATTAAAATGTGAAACTGTACATAAGAATAAGACGTACGTTGCTGTAGGATGTGCCATCTTCACAGTGCTTGCTGTTGTAGCTGTTGTTCTTTTTATCCAAGGTAAGTGAAATAAAATTGCCTTCCTAGTTTAAGGGAATGAGAGCACAGGTTAATCTCTTTGATATTGTCATATGAAGTTAGTGCCACCTATTAATTGCCACCTACTAATTTCAAAATGAATAAAACTATAGAGTAAAACAGATGTGGCACTGTGAATGTCACAGAATCATGGAGTGGTTGAGGTTGGAAGGGACCCCTGGAGATCATCTAGTCTGACCCCCTGCTCAAGCAAGGTCACCTATAGCACGTTGCACAGCATCATGTCAAGGTGGGTTTTGAATTCCTCCGTAGAAGGAGACTCCAAAGCCTCTCTGGGCATCCTGTTCCAGTACTCTGTCAACCTCACAGTAAAGAAGTTTTTCATCATATTCAGATGGAACTTCTGCTTGTTTTGTCAGTGGGCACCACTAAAAAGAGTCTGGCCCCATCATCTTGATGCCATCTCTTAGGATATTGATATACCTTGATAAGATCTTATGTTGGTTTTACTCTGCTAGGCAGCTGAACTCTACCACAGCCACTCCCCTTCCTCAAAGGGAAATGGGGAGAAAATATAATGGAAAGGGCTCAAGGATTGAGATAAGGACAGGGAGATGACTCAACAATTATTGTCACAGGCAAAACAGACTCAGCATAGGGAGATTAATGAAATGTATTACCTATTACTAACAAGCTAAAGCAGGGAGAAACAAAAAATATGTTCCCCCTTCTACCCTCTTCCACTTCCTCTCCTTGAGAGGCACATGGGAATGGGGGTATGGCCGATGTGGTCAGTCCCTGTTGTTTTGTCTCTGCTGCTCCTTCACGGTCCTTCCCTGTCCCTGCTCTACATGGGGTCCCTCCCACAGGATGCTGTCTTTCCCGAACTGAGCCTACGGCGGCTGTCTGCAGGCAGCAGCTCTTCAAGCACTGCTCCCACACAGCTCCGTACCACAGGGTTCATCCATTCCCCAGGAGCAAACTGCTCCAGGACGGGTCTCTCACGGGCGGCAGCTCACCCAAGACCCCTGCTCCTGCGGGCTACAGCTCTGTGCAGCTGACTCTGATCTGATGTGGAGAAGCTTTTGAATTCTTCTCATAGAGGCCACCTCTGCAGCCCCCCTGCTACCAAAACCTTGCCATGTAAACCCAGTATAGATCCCATCTCAGCCTTCTTTTCTCCAGGCTAAATAGGCCCAGCTCTCTCAGCCGTAAGAGAGGTGTTTCAGTCCCCTAGTGATCTTCGTAGCTCTCAGATGGTCATAGAGAGATACAGACTGCTGCCTTGCATGATTGCTAAAGGCTAGGGAAGGCATTCTGGTGCTTAACTTCAGTGGATTTTGGGGGACCCTGAAAATTTGATTATGCCCATGTTTTACTTTTATTGCTTTGTACTTTCTTCGAACCAAAGATTTCTGTTTTACTAATTTTCATACAACTGTTTGCAGGTGGCAATATTACTATCAATAAAGTTGGTCTTGGTTTTGTTGTACTGCCTGCTGTGATACTGATGGTGCTTCAATACTATATATTTAAAATTGGTGAGTATTTCTTTATTCACCAGGTCAAGAACATAGTGTTAGAAAAACTTAGGACCTCCTCTGCCATCTCACGTAATCTACATATTATTTTACTTTTTTTATATATATATATAAATATATTTTACAATAGCATGCTGGCTTCCTGACCTTCCTAGTTTCTCAAAGTAAATTAACCTTTGTTTGTCTGAGTTGCTTCAGGGAAGATGTATAAATTGAGAAAAGAGATTTAGGGTAAGACATCTGAATGATTCCTGCTCTTCCTTCCTTGGCCTTGAGACTGGGATGAATGTCTAACTCTCGGAATGTATGTTTTATTTCTTCTGCTTAAGGTTTATTTATAATTTTTCGCTATGCATGCACAAAATAGTTCCCTGAGTGACTTTTGTAATTTTTGTTATGCTGGCTGAGTTTGGAATTTAGGAGAACCTGAACGTTCATTGTGTGAATGATCTACCTTTCATATCTCTGTAGTTGATACTATAAAATGACAATTTTCTTTTTTTGTCTTTTCCAGTTCTCGTTGATGTAACACGCAAAGGATATATTCTGATAGGTCTTCAGTCTTTTGGTTTTGTAGTTGCTCTTGTTGGTTTTGCACTGTGCATCTCAGGTAAGCAATATACCTTCTGTAAAAGTGTCTTTTTACCTTTTAACACAAAGATGTTGTGAAAATAGCTGTACATTAAGTGTTAATGATTAAGTCATGTAAATAGGAGTACTGTGTTAATGCTCTTTTATCTGACGAAAGAAGAATAGCCCAAAGGCAGTTTAATAAGTATTACTGTATCCATCATGGCTGCATTCTATGAGCTGTTGCTTTAAAAATTAACTTCTAAAATCGTTTTCATTTTTGCAACAGTTGGTTGCACCCTGTAGTCACCTCAAACAAACGCTGACCTTTGTTACTGGTGTTCTTAGTAAGGCCTAAAGTACAAAATAAATCCCAAATAGAAACATAATTGTTTTCTAGTGTTCAATGAATAAATCAGAAATTCCTTGTTAATCTCTGTCTGTATGCAAATGACAACTGAATTGCTGGGAGTTGGATATCACTGAAACAGCTTAAGAAGGCATATCTGGAAGTAGTAACAGAGAAGAGGGTGAACTTAGGAGTAGCCATCCTTGGCAGCGTATTTAGTTGTAGCATACATACTGCGGTTCATCTAAGCATTTGGATGTCCAATTTATTGCTTCTTAAAGACATTTTCATTTTATTAATTTATTTGATTTGGGATTTAAGGAAGTGTTTCTCCTTGCAATGGTTTCTGAAGGTTTCTCTGCTTTGAGTGAAATTATGGACCTTTCAGTAGAGCCCTGATTTAAGTATTTGTAAGGGGCACATAAGTGTTGTCAAGTAGTATGTAATAGTGAAATACACAAGATTTCTGGTAAAGTGTTACCTTCTAACATGATCCAAAATGGAGTATGTGTTTGTGTTCTCAAATAGAAAATCACCCTCTCTTTTCATTGAGGATTTTTTTTTACAGCTCATAGAAGGTAGATGTTAGCTCTATCTCTGGAATTTTAGGTCTGGGACCCTTAAGTATCAGTAGGTCATCCTACGGTCAGCTCACAGGGAGCTGCAATGACTTCAAGGCCCTGGAAAAATGGGTGGTTTACAAGGATCAGAGAACAAGGGAGTTTCTGGAATGGACTCCAGGTAGCTTGTAATAGCCAATTTCTGCTCTGTAAACTTGAGAGCATTCCTGTTACTTGTAGTGTACTTGAATCAGAGCTATTCTTATGTTCTTCTTCCTTGTAAAGGGGAAAAAATGGAGGGGGGCATGTGTGGAAATGTAGACCCCCTTTTTTTTTTTTTTACCATGTTCTATTAATAACACTATTGTATTTTGTAATCTAATGCTATTGTTGGAAAAAAAAATGGGGTCAAAGATAAAAGTTAAATATAAAATGTAAATAATGTAATTAATCACAGTGAATGTCAGTAGAATACTACAGCTGAAGTGTTACCAGGATAAATTAATAAATGCCTTAGTATCATTAAAGACCATAGAGCCAAAAAAAAAAAAGTTGTAAAAGTAGCTTTGGGAGGGGCTCAAAAGAAATTAGTCACTTCTGGTTTTATCAGGCTTACTTATTTTAGTATTTATATCTGAAAAGTTTGTGTTTTTACTTGTGTCATATGATACAATATCTTGTTTCTTAACAGCCTGTCCTTCAGAACTTCTCTCTGTTGTAATTGCCGGCTTAGCTGTTATGGCTTTTGAGGATCTGCTTGCTCTGCTTTATATGTATACTAGTTGTAAGTAGCATCTAATATTCTGCATTGATTTTATTTATTTTAGATTTCACAATTACATAGTTAAAAGTAATTACTGAGAAATTGTATATAATGGCATTTGTTTCATAGACTGTGGAGAATCTGTAGTAAAAAAAAAAAAAAAAGAAGTTTTAGCTTATAATAAACAGCCCTGGGTTTCCCAAGTAAGAGTGTTTCATCTGTAAGATAAATATTGTTGTTTTAAGATCTGAGTTTACGCAGTTGCCAAGCTGAAGGTTAGGACTAAAAGAGCAAACAGATTTCGAAGACTCTGTGGAGTAAGTTACAGGATGGTGCATATAGTAAATATGCTCAGAATACGAATTCGAAGAAGCAAAATCTGCCTAATGATTTCCATGGGTTAGATGAAGGCTAAAATAAGAGCAATTTGAATGAGGACCTCTTGTTTTAATCAGTCCTGTTTTTTCTTATACTTAATTTTAAAAGCCAGGAGCAAAGGATAGCAATGCTTTGTTTCAGAAACTGGTCTGTTCACCAGATCTCAAAATGACTTGAAGGTGTAAAGTCTGGTCAGGCCTGCTAGGTCGGCAAAAAGCACATCAACGCTGTGGGATGGAATGTGGTACAGACATCTCTAAGCTGCCACACCACAGCATAACACTATGTGGACTTTATAACTTGTGTGTAAGAGAGCAGGGTAGCTTTATTTGCTTCAAGCTGTGCATGAAGGCTCTTCAAACAGCTTGTTAAATTGGATGTGGAACCATACAATTGAAGATATATTGCTTCCAGACTTGAGCTGACTTGAGTCTGCTCAGTCCATAGTCTGCACTGAACTATGCAGTTTCAGTATGTGCACACCGTGTGTGGGGATGGTCAGAAATAACAGACCCCGAGACAGGGAGGAATTCCATTAAAGCAGAAAATAAGGTAGAAGGCCCAATATCTGAGATTACAATAAGTCAAAATGTGACAGAGGTGAAGTGAGCCTTTTAACAATAATAACATATTTTTTGTTGATGTCAGGCTACTTATGAAGCTTGTACAAGCACAAAGAATAGTGTGTAATGTAACTTATTAGAGCTGAATGCCTTGAGTGGGATATTTTGGATCACACATTTAGTTCCTAAACAGGAGTGCTTAGAGGCGTTTAGAATTTGGAGATCATGTTAAATAAGTTTGGATAGAGGAAGCTGCAATTTTGTGTGTTGCTACTGTTTTCCAAATTTTATTAGTAGGTGTTCTTATTTGGCTGATCATTTGTTCATTTTTGCTTTTTTTGGTAATTGTTTTTAGGTTCCAGAATGAAAGATCATCAAACTCCAAGGGTAAGCTTAAAATTAATAAATTTGGGGTGACTAGATGGCTCAGGGGATTGTAGTGAGATACTGAGCCTTTCTTCACTAGTTCGAATTCAGACCAGGTTGGTAGCAAGCAAAAGTTATGGCTGTGTAACAGATGTCTAATGTTGAGTGACTTGGTGGTCTTCATTGTCCCTATTGAGTGCGTCTATAGTACTGTAATTGCCACCCTTACCAAGTGTTGTGCTCAAATAGAGCTTTTAAAGGGCTGTCACAAAAAGGTGGTGGATGTGAACGGAAGTTTTGGTGTCTTTAAATGCACTCTTAGCCATTAATTTTTTTAAGACCATTGGTTAATGTTTTTTTCATTAAGGTGAGTGCAGAATATTGTTTTTGTTTGTTTTATTTTTTTTATATAGGTGGCTTATAACAAAGACTTAGCATTGGGTTGATTTTTTGTGGCCTTCTGAACCAGAACCCTTTAATGTTTTCTGGAATTCCTAACTATGCAAATTCTGTAGCCTTGACATTTTCCTCTTACCTTCCTGTAATGTCCTTTAATTTGTCGAGACCATCTGAAAGCAGAGTGCCTGTCTCTGAGGCACACAGAAGAAATGGAAAAGCACTTTATTTCTTTAAGAAGCTTTTTCATGCATTTTTTCTTAGACTTAAGCAGTTCTTTCTGGTGTCCCATGAATGTGAGCTGTCTGATTTCTGGAATTTTGCAGAAGCAAGTAAAAAGGCACAAATGTAAAATATCAGTAGAAGTTTGTTGTAGCAGGGGAGCACAGCAAATATGAAGTCATCCCATTTTCATGAATGCCAGTCATCATTTGAGACACATTCCTAGGTCTCCTTTTCAGCCGATAGCCTGAGACCTAGCTGTTGAAAAAGGCCAGTTTCTAACAGAGGGGCAGGAGAGCTTGAAAACACACTTTTTTTCTTGTTTGCTTTTTCTCCATTCCCGTTGTAAGGAATAGTATTTCAGAGGATTGATTCCTTACTTAGGGAGGGAACATAAGTACATGGAGCTTGAAAAAAATAGAGAAAAAGGGGCAGTTCACAAAGCTCCCTATTAATAATGAGCTGAGAAGTGTTTTACAGATACATGTTGTTCAAAATGCAATCCTGCTTGTATGCTCATGTTTTCTTGTAGAAAGGAAGCAAAAAGGGCAGCAGGAGGTGGTTCTTTTTTATTTTATTTTTTTCTGTAAATGAGCTTAGATATACAAACCACCATGTTAAGTAACATCCTTTGTGGAACTCCTTTCACTTTATAAGCAATTCTCTTCATGAGGTGGCTTTCACATTGCAACAAAGATTTGACAGATAAAGAAATGGCCCTAAATTATTATGTAGTAGAGAACTTCAGGTTACCCTGAATTGGAGACAGAAATAAAATCTAAAGAATTGTATAGAATTTAGGTCGTTAGAAAGCTCAGCCACTAAAAACATGTTTCTTGCAATTAGTGGAGTATCTGAGGGACTTGGATGACAAAACATCTGTGCACATGAATTTACGGAAGTCACAGATAGGCCTTGGTGGAAAATTGAGTGTGTTCATATGTTGCTTGTTTCCATCAAGGGCTGTTCAGCATATATTGCTGTACTTCAAGGCATTAAACAGACGTGAAGTCATTTTGAAAACACAGTTTTATTCTGTGTAAACTTAAGACTAAGGAATATTTCCTGTCGATGGAGGGGCTTCATTTTGACAGTGGGGCATACTTACAAAATGATGCTTGATGCTTTCTTGTGGCTGAGGGGGAAAAGGTGCGTATTTTGAAATCTACCGCTCTTAATCAATTACTAATTTGTGTGTGTTGCTTCTGCTGGCTGTCTACCATACTAATGCACAGCTGTAGTGTATTTCCTTCTGAGAAGATTACACCTGACTGCGCTTGACTAATTTTTTTTTTATTTAGTCATGCTGTTTTATTCCTAAGCATTGATCAATTTAGAGAAATTATCCCCCAGGTTCTAGAAGTTAAAAGTAGTATCTGCATACCTTTTGCTGCCACCTAGAGGTATTTCATCTGAGGAAAAAAAATTACAGACAGGAAGAATAGCCTGGAGAGTGCAGTTATTGGTTTTAATTTGGGGGGGAAGTTCTAGTCATTAATTTTATTAATGCTCAGCTTTCTTGATTTTTGTAGAATCACTACTTACTGTATATGTCAATTAGAGTAATTTAACTGTGGCGAGCCAGAAGTAAACACGAAGGCATTTTATACATATATATATTTTTAAATGTTTTGCAGAAAGCTGTAGAAGAACCACTAAATGGTAGGTGATATTCAAGACTTATCTTCTAATTAAGAGATTAATTATGGAAATAATTAAGAAATAATCGTAGCTTTCAGTGCACAGCACTGAGGTGGCAGAGATGTATGTCAATTCATGTGGCTCTATGAGTCTGTAAGAGTTTGATCGCACTGAAATGTCTGCAGCTCCAGACCCCCCTGTTCTCAACTACTGTGCGTGCTAGCCTAGCCAGTGGCATCGTTTGCCTGTTTGGGGACAAATAAAATACCACAGGATATTATATCCATCATTTTTGCTTTGCTTCCTCTTAAAAGGTGGTGTTAATTCTGCTTCATAAGCATTTATTTTAGTGGAAAACTTGTGATTATTAGCAAAATCTATCCCTGTCGCTCTATTCTTTTACAATTTCCTTGGGTTGGGAAACTGATAGCATTTATGACTGGGGAAACTTACAGTGAGAAATGGTAACTGAAATACTCTTCTTTCTATTCTGCTCACTGACTGGCATGCTGAGTGAACTTCTAAAGTGATTTTTAGAATTAATTTGAATGTTAATTAAGAAGCATTCCTTATTTGACTTGTTACTAATCCATTTGCTTGGCTTTTAAAGATGCAAAAGGAGTGATGTTAGAATGATGGTGAGTCAAAATACGTCTCCGGCTATTTAATTTAACATTTAATTGGGGATTTTGATGTTTAGAGTTAGCCAGTGTTACTATGATGAAGCCTGGAGGACTGGTTTCAGTGAAGTTGCTGGTTTTAGTCAAATTATATTTTATTGATTAAAAAAAAGATACAGAAGATATTTATTCTACCTAAGAGAAAAAAATGTGTATTTGTAAACCATGAAAAGGACAGGTTAATGAGAAACAACTATTAAATTGTATGCTTTTGATCAAATGTGGAAAGTCAAATAGTTTATATGCCTCCTTTGTGCTTATGTAGTATGTAATATGCATGGACTGTTTTGTGGGTGGTAGGTTTTATGTGTTTGGTTTTTTTTTGTTTGTTTGTTTTATTAGCTCTTCATCTTGAATTGATCTCCTATGGAAGTTCACAGGAGGCTGGCTTAAAAGAAGTAGTCTTGCATGTTGTACCTCCCCCCTCCCTTTCCACAGCTTTAGATGTTCTTTAAATTCTCTAGGTTTTGTTAGGTTGGTTATATTTCAGTCAGATTTCACTTAATTTATATTTGTGTCAGATAGTAATGATTTAAAACCAAACATAACTGGAACACATTTTCAGTAAAATTTAAAACCTGCTAAAATAACCTCAACATATTTTGGACAAAACAGAATTCAAAACTCCCAAGATCAAAAGGTGCAGTATGGTTTCTACTCATTGGTTATGCTTGATATTTAATGATCTAATAGGTATCAAAGATAAGTTAGGCCTGGACACAACAACGTAAGATTTCTTCCAACTTGAGATGGCCTCAATGCAGGGACTAGTCCTTTTTGATTTTTTAACAGCTTGTAAGATTGCAACACAAATGGTATGTAAATAGACTACTCCAAATTGATGGTAAGACATGTAACGAACAGGGCTGTATTAGCTTGGCCCGAAATTCTCAAGCTGGTACCTAAAGTAGTTTCACCTAGTTTGTGAAAATGCTCTGTTCCTGCATCTTATATCCATCATAAAAACAAGAAGAGCTTGCCTGGCACTGTTAAACATCAGATTGGTCTTATTTAGGAACTTACATTATAGATTATATGCTTGGGTTTGAAAATGAAAACAGTTGGTTATTCATGCTTTTCTGTGCCTCATTTTCACGGGAGTTGGATAGATAAAAAGCACTTGCTGAAGCTGTTGGAAACTCAGTTTCTTGCTGGAAACTGAGCGAGCTTGTCATGAGGTATCATTAAGCCTTTAACTGAGTACTCCTGCATTGAAATACAACAATTTGCTAGTCAGGATAAAGAGCAGGGCCACGTTAAGCCTTGTAATTTATTTGAAATATAAATATATCGTGTCTAGAAGTCATGAAGTGACAATATGACAGTAAAGGAGGCACTAAATAGAGTCCTACCTGCAAAAAAAAAAAAGTATGGATTTTTATAAACAGGCTTCTCTACAAATACCATGTGCTGCTAGGTGTTACTTCTGGCTGCTTATGACAAGTATATGATTCATCCAAATATGCCGTAGGATTAGTTTCTAAATCAACAGAAAAATACAAGTATTTTTGCAGTACAGAGGATGACTGTGTTGGTGTCTCCTAAATATGTTGACGAAAATGTGTACCAGTTAGTATAAACTGGAGTAGGCAGGAGGAGTGGAAGGTAGGTCATGCTGCAGAAGTGACAATTACATGTTCTCCTCAGCAGTGGTTTGATGTCAGGAAGCAGATGTTTGCCAGTCCATTGCATTCTTTTTTCAAACCTTTCAAGAAGTGAGGTGAGGATGGAGTCAATAGAGTTACCATTCACTGCTGAAGACAAAAGTAGAATTTTTCTTGGAAAACCAATCTTTAGTAAGTCAACCGTTTCTTCTTGGGTCTCCTTTAGGCTTACATAAGCCTGGCTTCACATTTATTGTTTAGGTAGAGCTTCCAAAGACACCAACATTGGTAACTATCAATTTCATTTTGATTTTTTTTTTTTTTAGGATAGGGTTAGATGCCTGACTGCTTTGTCTGCTTTGAAAGGTGGATGGCTCCTAAAAATAACAGGTTTCACAAATCAAAGTCAGGGGCTCTTAACTTGCAAGCTGAAGGCAAGAACCTTTTAAGCTTTACTTGCTTTCTACCTTATCTGTCCCTTGCAAGTTCACTCATACATGCAGGGGTAAGTCAAGCACGCTAGCATACAACATGTCATGTGAAAGTAAACCAGCATTAGGAGTAAATCAGGACAGGTCAGACAGATTCAGTTGGGAGCCACTACAGCTTGTTGCTGTGCATAAGCTGGAGCTCCAAGACACAATGTCCACTTCTGTGCTGCAGAGGCTGAGCCAGCAGTTGCCTATTAGTTATCACTCTGAAAACGAGCTTAGTACTCAAATAATGGAAAAGTTTGAAAGAAGAAACACGCATTTTTAAGCCGTTACTTAGGTAGGCAGTGCAAAATGTTGTTGTATAAATAATCGTGTTTCTGAATAATCACATATACATATATATCTTTTGTTTCTTTTAATTTCCAGAATTAAAGACAGAGACTGAATCTACTGCAGAGATGAATGATGGGTGAAAAGTACATTGTTTATACGCCGTGGCCTTGAAGATGCACTACTCAAAGAGAAGAAATTCAGGAAACTAGTTGTTTTGCATGTGTGGCAAAAGTGCTTTTGATATAAATGATGTAATTTTATAGTCACAGCAGCTGTAGCGAGGAACATGTGTGTTTGCCCATGTGTGATCTTCATTTCTTTTATTATGGTATATATTGGTGTGGTTGAGGGTGAGACTATAAAAAGCACTGTTTGCCCACTAAAGCATCTCCCTGCAGTATACTTAGTGGTATTACTTTTAAAAATTATCACCAGTCACTGCTTTGATAATGGGCCTGCTCAGCCCGAAAATTGCAATACCATTTAGACTATTGTTTTCTTTACTCGTGTGCATGGTCAAGGTATGGTCATGATGTCCGTGATACGAACAGGAAGCAGGGATCATACAAATACTTCATGTCCAACATTCAGGAAAACTTTTATTAAAAAAAAAATGCTTATACATAAAGTTACATAAATATAACCTTTACTCCCAGTTCTCCTGAAGTGATTAACTGAGTTACCCTAATTCCACAGAACCATAATATTCCTATATATGCACAGCAGTCACATGCTGTGGCAACCACTATTTTAGTCCAGTGAAAGCTCTCTGTGCCTCATAGGTATTCTTTGACAAGATACTGCTCAGCTCTTGGAGCCAAATTCAGCACTGGAATTATGGAACATAGCACCTAGTTGTTTTCATGCTGAAAGTGTTTTTTGTGTTTGTTCATGTTGTGCAGCATGTGGTACTGGAACCAATATCAGGTTCTCTTAACTGACCGCATTTGTAAAGCTCTGATGCTTCAGAAAAATAGGACTTGTCCTATTAGCATATTGTTAACAGTTTTAAAATCAGTTTTCTTGAATGGAAATTGCAGTTATTTCATTTCTGACCCAAGTTTGTGACGCTGCCATTACATCACAAATGCACAGAATAGAATATATGTAGGAGGAGCTGATGCGAAGTGAGGAGGCTTCGTTGCTTTGTATATGGAAGTGGTACAGATTAAAAAAAAAAACAAACAACAAACATCAATGTACAGTTAATTTGACAGGACTTGCACATTCCATGAGACTTTACAGTGTTTTACAGCTGCATTTGTTCCAATATAGCTGGATTCTTTTGAATTTCATTTATGCTTTGTGGAAATCTTTACACTGGCTCCAATTTGTAATAAATTATAATAAAATCCACTTTTTTCTAAAAAGATTCTGAGTAATGCGATAAGTCCCAGATTTGGAAGTTATAAACTAGGGTTCATATCTGTGTTGTGGGTGCGTGTTGCAGAGATCCACATGAGATACTCCAAGTCTCAGTGCAGACACCTAGTATCAAGAAGTCAACAAAATAAAATTGAAGTATCTGATTTTACAATATTCTTTACTGCAAGGGCTGCAGGACTCAGCCACTAGAGCAACCCTTGGTCCAGCTCTTGCTAAAATCAGTGAAATTGGCCACAGTGGAGGGGGTTATTCATGTGATCAAGTGTTTAAGAAGCAAATACGGTCTATATTTACTTGTGTAACTTAAAGTTTGTCAGTGGGAGTATTCATGTAAGATTTGAGTTTCCAAATATGAATCTTTTTGATGCAGGCTTTTCCATAATCATGGCAATCCACCTAGAGGTGGGAGACATTTCTCTGTTATCTGTTACCAATTCTGTGTAAGAGTTTACCTGATCAGGTACCACACAGAGCTCCTCGTTTGTATGTAGTGATTCCCTGTGGCAAGTGGAAAGTTGAGCAGTTGCAGAAGAAAAAAACAAGCACTGGAATTCTTTTTGAGGTATCCTGCCTTATTAAAACCATAATGTGTAATAGCTTTATGTTAACTACTGCAAAGCAGATTGCAGTGGAACCTGTTGTGTGTCTCTGTGGTGATGAGGCCAGCCTGTTACTAGGGCATTGCTGAAAAATGTGGAACTTGGTGACTGTGCAGCCTGCAGAATCAATCTCTCCAGAAATGGGAGAAACCTAGCGTGCTGTTGCTAAGGGCTCTGCTCCGGGTTTCTTGTAGGTACAAATTTAAACATGAGAGTTTAAAAAGTCATTGATACACCCAGCCCTTTCCCACCAGTAATTTAAAACCAAAGTTCGTAACTGTTTGATGCCATTCATGTGTGTATGTATGCGTGTGTATATATATATATATAAATGCATAGACATTTTAAATATAGTCTTAAGAAAATGTTTTTATTTATGAGACATGAAAGAATTTTGTAAATATTGTGTTAATGTACTTTAATTAAAGTCATTTTAAGTTGTTTTTGTGAGAGACTTTCTTGTCGCTGTCACAATGAACTTCTGTAACTGCTTCTGAACATTCAGTCATAGCTTTTCTTCTCCATCCCTTTACACCCTGTTTCCCAGATGACTTTTTTGGATATACAGGAATGTTCTCGATGTTATTTAAATTACTGCAGGTGGTTTTGGCTGAGAGATCTTTTGTTTCTCCTTCAAAACCTCATCTGTTTGGGGAAGGAAGTTTGTAGCTTGCCCTCTTAACTTCCATTTGGGCTGACCAACATCAATCATCAACTGTCAGCAGAATGTGGTGCAGGAGCAAATACAGTCTGATGAATTACAGAAGCTCCCTGTACAACTTAAAGAACTCAGCAGAGCTGTGCATACTTCTAGTCTTCATAACACTGAACTAACTTTTCTGGGATAAAACTTTCTTGTGTTACTGCTAAATTAGTGCCCCATAAATCCTACATCTTTTGAAGTTATTTGTGATGCTCTTCTGAGAGGAGCAACAAGAGAAGAGGCTAAGTCCTCTCTAGAAGCATTTACGCTTATGTCCACTTCAGCGAAGCTGAGCTGATGCGAACAGTTCCAATTATTAGCCATTCTCTGCTTGTTCAAGGCAGATTCAAACCATCAAGACCTCTTCTGAAATGTTTTGTGATTCCCTGCCACCCTCACCTTCCTCTCAAAACAAGCCTGGAGCTGTAGTTCTGAGATAGGAGACAAAAATTGTAGAACTTTGCTGTATATGGACCTGCTGAGAGTGACCCTGGTCCTAAATTTCAGAAAATCTGTGTGCTAGAACCTGCAGGGAGGGGGGAAGAAAAATACTTGAATGTTTGTCCTTGCAGCTGGGCTATGGTATAATGGGAAAGAGCTGTCATAAAGTATGAGAGAGGTGGAGAACCAAGCTATTTCAGTGGACTGATGAATTAGCAAGGAACTTACTAATAATACACAAATGTAAATAATTAGCACAAAGACCAAGATCATCTGTTTTGGGGGAGGAGAACTGCAGCATGGAAACAATTTTTAGTGTCCTTCTGTTCTTCTGCTTGCTTGCTTGTTTTTAAAGGCTGTAGAAAGGAGGATTTTGAAATGATTGGGCTGGAGAGTGGGTGCAACTGAAGAGAGACTCGGTCATGAATACGCATTTGATGAGAGAAGTATTTTAAAGAGCTTAGGAACTGCAGATTTCCTGGAAGAGTGTGCAACTTCTCCAACACAGCTCTAATAGCAGTGGTTTTGCACCTGCTGGGAACTGCAAGGCTCCATAGTGCTAGCTTCTGTGTCTAACAGCCCGATCAGGTAGATGTATTTAGGAACAACTTGCTGTCATGTGAAGTCGGCACGCTGCCTCAGACACCTCAGTGATATCGCTCGGGCACAGCAACACGCAGAGTAAGGTCTGCAAAGCCTTTGGCTTGAACAAGAAACGTTCTCTTTAAGGAAGTCCCAAAGCTTATCTGGCATTCACGCTTCGTGTGCTTGCAGATAATGCAAGGTTTTGAAACTGGTTGCTCTAGCTAGTTAGTAAATGTTTTTTCCTTTAATATTGCACAAAAGGTAGGTGCAGGTTAAACTTGGAGTGACAACCAGAGATGAAAAATGAAGGAGACAATACTTGCCAGAACCTCCATCAGGGTCAGTTTTATGGTAGTTTTATTTGGTCAGAATTTTGAGGTTAAATTGCTATCTGCTATGTTAATTTAATTTCCTTTTATTTCTTCCATAAATGCAGCAGGAATTGCTTTCAGAGCCAGAGCATTTGGTTGTATTTTGGGTGTTTTTGTTGTTTTTTTTCTTTTTTTTTTCTGTTTAAGGAAGCCATGCTTTCTAATAAATTAAGCATACAGGGTAGGGGAGCGGGCAGAAATTCACTCTGCGATTCCCCAGAATGTTCACCCAAGCATTGTGTTATTAGCAAACAGTGAAGAGTTCAAAGATGACAGTAACAAGAACAAGGATCTGTAAGATCCATCCATTACATTTAATTTTATTTAACCTTGAGTGTAACCAGTCAGGATGGTTTCACTTGAAGCAAAAGATGATTTACGTTTCTCTGACAAGTGCTACAGCTTGAGCTCCATGGAAAAGAGAAAGCAATGCAGTAAACATGAAGTGAAAATAAATGTCCTGTAAGGTGTACAGGCCTTCATGGTGGGAACGTATCTAGGAAATGGGCAATGCAGAACTTGATAAAGGAGTGAGAAAGCCAAACAGTGCCAGAATATTGCTATTTATCATAACAATGGTAAGTAATTTAGATTTAAAAAAAAAAAAAAAGTTTAAGGGAGAAGGAAGGCAGAAAATCTCTGTAGGCCATGAAGGGATTTGCTATAGTACGCCTGACCTGCCTGTTCCTCTGATACTGCCTCAAAGAGATGGGGAAGGGAGCCCCAGCCTGGCTTTGAGGAAGAACATGTGGATGGGCGTGGAGGGATGTGTGGTACAGCCGGTTATTTGGAGCAGGATGGAAGGTGCACCTGTACATGTAACACCCCACTGCAGTTACAACTGTGTCTAAGGATGCTGATGTCTTCATTCTACTACAGCCCCGTTACATCACCCTTTATGCTGCCCTTTTTTCTGCGTATCAAACAGCAGTTGATGATCGGGAAATTAAAAAAATAAATAAATCACCGAGTAATTCTGGACTACGAGGCTGCCGTTGGCATTTGCAGTGAGAGTACACTAGAGCATAAACAGCCTTAAATGTCATGCTGAGCATGACACGAAGCTGGTTACAACATCAGTGAGGAAGTACAACTAAAGCAATAGTGCATGTCATGACTGCACCAGTCACAATAAAGGCTACGGGGGAGAAGGTGGTTCCCATCCCCCAGGGCTGGCTAAATTAACAGCAAGTACTTGTGTGACTACTTCTTCGGAGATCCTGTGAGCTCCTGACAGGCTCAGCAAGTGAATTAATAGCATGATGCATGCAGGAGCGCCAGGAGGAAAAAGATGCACAAACAAAACAAGCTGCATAAGAAAAAAGCCCCGCACCAAAAGGTACAAGACACTACTCTTTAATCTACCAACTTCCTCTTTCATTTGCCAACACACCCGCTTACCCACAGTCACTTGAATCAGTGTGTGTGAATGCGGGGGAGGGCTTCTACTGTAGGGTACGTCTTCCCCATGTAGAGCTGGGGGGTTCTGGGGAGGGGGTTCTCATGAACATGGAGCAGCTGCAACTGGTGGTAGCTTATCAAAGCATGGGCCAGGCCTCCCCTTGCCTTCAGTGTGGTTCTGTGCAGCTGTGACAGCTGCAACGGCAGCAGACATGCCTGAGCGGCACAGCCGGACCCTTTGGCAGGTGGGAGAAACCCCCATCTGACTTGATGCTTACCCCGCTTGTTTGCGATCACCTGTTGAGCCCAGGTCAGTTTCAGCCCTCATGGACACTAGGAATGAGACCATTTGCTTTGTTAGAAAGCTCTGAGGTCACATCGTGGTATAAATTCCAGGGAGTGAAACTGCAAGTGAAATGCAGGCCATTGCAAGACTCGTGCTTCACCTGAATTCCCAGAAATGTTAAGCCTCTGTGAAGAAAAGGAGAATGTCCACACTGCAAGATCTGAAGGCTTCGTGTCAGATGTCAGAAGTCTTCACACTGATGTGAAGACTTGGGAATCTTTTGCTGAAGTATTTCCTGATGGCAAGAGGTCTGGTTCCTACATGGAGCTGGTATGCATTGGGCTTTGATGGGAGCTTAGTGATGCACAAAACAAACAGAAAGGGATATTTTCTGGATTTTTTAGGTAACTTCACTGGACCAGTCACTCTGTGACCATTTCATTTTTTAATAAAGCAAATTTATGTGTGTGTAGTTGTAGGCATGGCATTAACTTTCCATTCCTGAACATGGCCATCTCACACACCTGTAAAGGAACCCAGTAAAAGAGTAGCTTTGCCCAAGGAAAGAGGAGGGGACAATCACTTTACTTGGTGATACATACACAGACTTTATTTTAAAAGCTGTACATATGTAATGGGTTGACCTCACTTAGCTGGGCACACAGTGCCCACCACGTCGCTCTCTCACTCCCCCTCCTCAGCAAGACGGTGAGAAAATGTGATGAAACAGCTCGTGGGTTGAGATAACGCCGGGGAGATAGCTCATCAATTACCATAACAGGGAAAACAGACTCAGCTAGGGGAAGATTAATTCAATTTATTGCCAATTAATAACAGAGTAGGATAGTGAGAACTAAAAACAAACATAAAAACAACTTGCGCCCTTCCCAAGCCCCCATGCCCCCCTCACTCTTTCCAGGCTCAACTTTACTCCTGGTCCTTTGACTTCCTCCCCCTGAGCAGCACAGGGCATGGGCGATGTGGACAATCCATAAAACTTTATCTCTGGCGCTCCTTCATCCTCATGTTTTCCTGCCATGAAGGAGTGCTTCCTGCATGGGATGACGTCCTTCCTGAACTGAGCCTGTGGGGACTGCCCACAGGCAGCAGCTCTTCAAGCACTGCTCCCACACGGCTCCATCCCACGGGGTCCATCCATTCCCCAGGAGCAAACTGCTCCAGCACAGATCCCCCATGGGCAGCAGCTCCCCCCAGACCTCCTGCTCCTGCGTGGGCTCCTCTCCATGGGCTGCAGCGTGGAGATCTGCTCCATGGGGGACCCATGGGCTGCAGGGGGACAGCCTGCTCCACCAGGGGCCTCTCCACAGCCCGCAGGGGAACTGCTGCTGCCTGCCTGGAGCACCTCCTGCCCTCCTGCTGCACTCACCTGGGGGCTGCAGGGCTGCTTCTCTCATTTTCTCATCCCTCCCTCCCACTTGCTGTTGCACAGCAGTTTTTTCTTCCCATTTCTCAACTCTGCTCTCCCAGAGGCCCAACCAATGCTGCTCCTTGCCTCAGCTCTGGCCAGCAGCAGGTCCCTTTGGAGCTGGCTGGAGCTGGCTCTGCCCTGACATGGGGCTGCTGGGCTCTGCTATTCCCCTGCTAACCAAAATCTCACCACATAAATCCAACATCTAGGCAAAATCTGTATCTTATT